TTTTCGCGCGATAGTGATTAAGGACTTTGAGAGTTTCATTCGCAAACATCCGAAATTTAACATCAACTTCATTATTGGGCAACACACCAATAATGAAGACACCTAGCCGGCAAAAATAGACCAAATACCTCGCTAGGCACGCATAGGACCCAGAGACATAACGGGGACGACTTCGAAGTATGTGTCACGATCCTCGCACGCGAATCAAGAACACAGGCGCGAAAAACTCTCGAGGCACTCTGGATTAATTCCAGAAATCCGAAAATGAACCGCAGGGAAGAATGCCTCATTATCACGCGTGATATAGGGCAGTATATAAAACTGCTTTTCTGATGTGAGGGGCACATTATACTTCCACGTGATTTCTGTGCGGTTGGTCTCTACGTGACATACTTAGTGGAAACCTCATAGAAAGCGGTGAGTGTGCAAAGCTGTGTTCAAAGTGATTGAAATCTTGGTTTGGAGTTTCTTTGTTTGGTTATGGAGGCGTCTGGCCGAGTGGATTGCTACCAACTTGACCTTTCCAGGCTCTGAAGAAGGCGAAATCCGCCGAAACGTCAGCTTAGTCGTGAACAAAGAATAGTAACACCTCGCGTTTGCTCAACAAAAATACGAAGAATGAAGTGTAACTTCTTTCATTATTCAATCACTAGATTTCAAGCCTATTCATTAGAATTCAATTGTTTATAAAAGCGGTAATAAATGGTTACAAATTTAATTTTCACAGGTCCTATTAATCTTGAAACAGATTTTCATTAAAATTGTGCAACAATGAATCTCGAAGCACTTTCAAAGAGTGACATGCTGTGAATCAAAAAATTTTCCACTTTCCGAAACCAAACAGTTCTAAAACCAGGGTCAAGAGTTCTCTACCAAAAGCTGTATCATACTCCTCAGCACTCCACATATTTGAACATTCCTTCAAAAATATTTACTTGGATACGTGGACATCCCGTCCCCACTGGTTGTGCAGGCCCCAGGATATTCTCCTCTTTTCGGAGTTTTGCTGGCTTAGCCATTGTGTTTCCTTGGAGACTCGCGGTCAGCCTGGCCAAAGCCTGCGCCACGTCCTCGCCACCATAGGCAGTCGCAGCCCTTGTGGATCAGAGGAATATTTGCTATCACGCGATTTTGGTACGAGGGCGGTGGTGTACCCTGGTACTGGTTTACTCTTAGCTAGGCTTCCTGGTTGAAACGGCAGACTCTTTCTCAGGTTGAGAGACCATGCCGGAGCGACGAATCCTCTCGCTGTACATCGCAGCCCGACACCCAAGAACACCTCCATCCATGATGAGGCATCAACCCGTTGGGAAGCTTCAAAAATACCTTCTCAAATATTATAACAACAGACATTCCATGTCCTTTAGCAAAACTACGACGACATATAAACGCTTACATGAGGCTACACACTGTTATCACAGTTGTCATAAAATCTATCATAAGTTGGCTGAAAAACATTTGGAAAAGAACAATCTTTCCAGTTATTAAACAAACTAACGCTTAAAAATTGATTCATAGGATAGGAATCCAAAAGAAAACACGCAATAACAATAATCTAAGCTGATTATGTCGATTAAGAAACGACAATATCCTTCCTAACAAAATGGTACTTTAGCTAATAAGGTTGTTAAGGAACACAGCGCGCTTGGGTAGGAATATAGCATTCGAGACAACTGTTATAAATGAAAGAATGGAAGACACAGAAAATAAGAAAACAACTACTACCTCTGATATGAAGTAACCGTAACACAGAACAATATGATGTGATGCGTCCGCCCGTGAAATCACATCCAAATCTCTCATAATACGTTTGTTGTCTTCCTTGTTTGATGTACGAGCCATGTCCTATTTGGAAATTTCACCAAAATAAAATAAAATAGCTGTTCTTAGTAAGGCTATGGCCAAACCCGAAAATTACACCTACTTTCACAGCCATAACGTGACCTCTATAGCTCATCTTTGACACATGACCACAACTACCGTTCCCAATATCACAAATAAACTCCAGATCATTGAAGTTTGCTTTGACCATCTCACCTATAAAGGTAAATGAATACAACAATTAAAATCCTTAAAAAGAAAGAGAAAAGTCTGGATGAGATTAAATAACACCATTTAGTCGCAGAATTCCAGAATTTCTCTTCACCGCTTCGTATCGCCGCTCGATATCATCGAGTTCGTGCTGTGCATGAGCGAGTCCATTAAAGTTTAGCGTGACTGAAAATAAGAGAATCCAGCTGAGAATGCTAAGAAAGATAGAATGACAACATCAAAATCTCATCATTCATCCTGCATTTTATACCAGAGCTTAATAAGATTGGTCCCAATGACGTTTACATGGTGATGCGTCTAACCACAACCAATCTCTGGTGTAACTGGCAAGACGTCCCTGATGTCCGTTTAAAAGAAATCCTTCTAAGAAAAACAGACTACTTACTTATCCTTGGAAGGTTAGTTTTCTGTTATTGAACGGTGGAAGTTGCATTTAGCACATCTTAGTTTCAAAAAAGGAACTGAGCAACCCCATGAATTCTAACTTCTTCTTATTCCATTACGACAAGGAGTGTAACGACTTTCAAAGCTTTAACAAGAGTCCAAACAAAACTCAAGCAACTAAAGAGAAAAACACTGGAAAATTTTAAGAATAACGGACGATATCCGCTTCGATTCCTCGAAATAGTACAATGCATTCGGCAAACAGCACCTTCCATAGGTGTGTCCACCAAATGTCCAAACATAAAGATATTCGCTACAATAGTTGTAAACTCACAACCCTTCCGAGCCATCGGACTCGAACGACAGCCGACAGGAATAGCTGCCGAGGATCGATGCACGGGTGTACCGCTTGTTGACGGAGTTGCACCTGAACCTGTCATTAAAATCATCTGGTGATCATAGCGAATACAGGCAAAGACACTAAATGAACCTCAAACTGAACTCACCAACAAATCGCTTTGGATCAGACGATGCAGATCGGCGCGGAGCTATTAGATGAACGGAATCAACGAAACCGAACCTGAGCTGTCTCCATTTTCGAATCCGATTCTCGAAATCTACACAACAACAGTTAACGTTCAATACGATACAACATGTGTATGGAAAAAAGAGTCCTTATTATCCCTAGAATCCTTAGTATTGTTAAAAATTCAGTAATCGCCAGAGACAACCCCTCATAAATGGATCAATAAGCGCCAAACATAAAACGTAAAATAGCTAGTTTGCACCATGGAAACGAAATAATGCAGCCTCTAAATTACAACAACTTATACCAGTAAAGTGAACAGGCATTACTGTCACTTGAAGTGCTTCTTTACCTTCAATATAACCATCCTAACTCTTAAAACAACAGCCACTCGATTGAAGTTATAGCAGTTAACCATACGACTAGAAGAAATACCAAGTAAAACAAAAAAAGAACCCTCCACATCTAGAAAAGATACATTTTCTAAATTATTCGAAACATTCCTGCAAATGGGCGGTCCTACAACGATGACTGTACCGCAGGTGTATGGCGCGAAAAATAGATATTCATAGTGCATCATCACCTGAATCGCCTAACAACGATTCCTTCACTAGTAGGTATTAAGGCAAAACCCGTGGGAAATTTGTGTTTTGGTGTCTTTTTATCGAACTCGTTGTTCAGGAATTTAGTAAATCTTCTTAAAACCGTAGTTGTAAAGAGTAACTAGTAGCTCAGAAAAGAAAAATTCCCATAGTTCTTGAGAAATCATTAAAGCAAAGTGTTCAAATATGACCGTTTGTCTACAATTTAATAAATTTACAGATATAACTAATATGATTGGATCTTTTTAATGTACGTAATCTTTATGGGGACACGTATGTGGATCAATTCGTGATAGTACCCACATAGTTGGATAACCTATCGGACCTTCTTTTTTCCCTGCTAAACATCCATCATGTTCAGCGTATCAGTTACTCAGAAAGGAAGTTATATTTCACTTTTCACTAATGAAAGTATGGCATGTGAAGATCCTCGCTTCCTTTTGGGTCGTTCATCAACGAGGCGTGCATTCGCACACCTACTCGTTGGCGCTGCTCACCCCGTTTGCGCAGATGGCTATGTTACTCGTAAAAGACGACAGTGGTCACGTTCTGTTAATGAAATTCAACCGTCAACTAATGTTCAGTAACTATAACATACCTCGAATCTTAGTATGTAGTGAGGCATGGTCCATGGACGAAGAGGCAACATCGGCCACTAGCCATTATCGATTCTACGCCAACCCTGCCCAGCCGGCACATTTGCATATAAAGACATGTGTCAAATTAGAGACGATCGTCTTAAATCATTTCATTTATGCATCGTTAACTACACAAATACAATTTAGTATATAGATCCGGCTGAATAAGTTCATTTATAAAGTGTGAGGCTATAAAGGCTATGGGTTGATGTTGTAGAATTATAAAGTGCTAGAGAATGACCACGGAGAAGATGATAGGCTCTATCTTAGAGCAGCATTAACCAACAATCAGACCACGTATTCAAATTCGTTTCCACAAGAATTCATGTGTCTTATCTTAGCCAAGATCACTTTGAATATGTGATTCATTCGATCCGAAGTTATGGTATCGACCTGTTAATATTTACAACAGTTAGTTAAAACAAAATCCCTACTCAGTCACATGGAATACTTCTGTTTCTGGTGGTGTCGTGAATGAGGTGAATTGATGAATAGAAGTTTACTTTACACCAAAGAAATCTAGGTTAGAATGGCATGAAGTTGAACGGTCTTCTTTTTCTTTAGCTAAGCTTCGGAAGGTTCTCGGCAAAGAAAAGTTGAAAGTGATGAGGAACATTTAAGAAACACTGCGCTTGAAAAGGGCAGTAATAAGACATTCGCAAGAGGTACAATATTAACTCCGATTCACAAAGATCGCGCTTAGTGCAGTGGTCGGATGGACCCTGCAGTATACATGGGATCGATCCACGCGCTCCAGGCTCACCAAACTCTCCATCTCTCCGTGGTCGGCAAATTGGTACCAGACTTGTCTAGGAGGATAGCAGTACTGGCTCAATACACCGGTAGGCCACCGCGAGTTATTGTAAAGGCCAGATATGCATTCAATCACTTCTAACGATACTTCATGAAGTAGGATGCAAGACCCATCCCTCAAGGATTGATCAACACCGAAAGCTTTGTCCTATATCCTCTTTACAAAGACCGACTAACTTCATATCCATGATGATATCATTAGATGTACGTTGCCGAATCTGTGAACAACATAATTAGTAGTTATTGATTTTTTCAAAAGCATAAAAGTGTGATTGTAATGTCTAGACATGTTTGCCGCGAAAATTTGCTGAGATAATTCAACATATTCTTCTCTTTTTTCAAACAAGTCAATGAACCTATTCTAATACAAGTTTGAAACTTAGTTCTGTATTCATGGTAACTTACATTGTAGATTCTGTGATAGTAGCCCAAAACTCCAAAACTACTCTCTCATCCCTACTACTTTTTGAGAGAAAATGAACAACAAAAACAAGAATACACAACAGTTTGTAGAATTAGTAGAAATAGAGTTTGAACACGCCATCAGATGGAACTGACTAAGCAACAGGATCGCGGAAGGAGACCAAAGTACAGGTTTCTGCCTTCCATCAATACGATTGCGGTCGATGATCCTCAAAATACTCTGCTTCTAGAAGAAACTATAGTTAAAGTACGACCAAAATTAGTTCGAAATGGTAGTTCTATACCTCTGTTTGCGTTCTACAGTACAACGATGCCTAAACCTAGACAGATTTCTTCATCGGTTATTTTATGTGCAGTTCATTGTTTTCAGTTGTTTAACTCATTGATCACAGTGTGATCCATAATGATCAACATATTTTTAGAGAGCTAGTGTGAAGCTCTGCGAGTTCAAGATGGTCACAGGTTCTCGAGTTCTCCAGTTATCGGAAAGATAACGGTATGTGTAAACTGGTGAGATTCTCAATAGGATTAGTTAGGAATTCTCTTGATGAAAGGCGATTAAACTCGCAAGTTGGGTTTTCGCAGGCATATAACTGGACTTAGCACTTCTCCAACCACTTTGTTGGTTCGCTACGTGAGTAACAGTTACTGGCTTACCTAACATTTGTAAAGTTGTACACAGCCATTCACTTAGTTAAAAGGGTCGCCATATGCTTAATGAGTGTAGAACCTTCTTTGTGTTCTATAGGAATACTACATACTAGACATATTGAAATTCTGCTAAGAGATTGTCGTAAATGTTGAGAAGTTCGGTTGTTGTTTCGTTTCGGATACGCCGCTTCAGTCAAGCATGATCAATTCTGGTCGACATCGATCGTTCGTACGATGACAGATCGAGGAAAACAGAACTGAATCATTGAACTTGGTGCTTATAAGATAACGGATTTTTATCCGATGTCCTATGCATCTCATCAAAATTGCGATATTTCAGCTTCTTCCATCTAAATGGAGAAATAGGATCTCTGCCCAAGATGAGATTGAAATTGAGTGGCAAAAAAATCGCGAAGTGGTAGGCACACGACTGAATCAGATAAGTAGTGAGAATGTCCGAGAAACTCGGTTGTACTAGCGCTTGTCCTATTTTAAGGTAGTTTCTATACTCGCGTGTAGAACAGAAACCTGCTATACATCTCGACTGAAATGGAAGGTGAGGTCCATGGAACTTAATAAATAGATGGAGAACTTCGAAATACAAAACTGTAGCAACTATGCAGAAGAAAAACCACCGGAAGTCATTACTGAGGCCGCAATGTTTAGGATCAAAATCATCAGAACAGACATTATATAATAAAAAGAAAATCGAGCGAGACGACTTCTGGATTTAGCATGAAACGGACAGACAGTAGTAGACAGTGTGACGTAGCATGAAGACGCTGGATGGGAGTTATGAATCTCCATACGGTTTTCAACCGGGTGAGTGGCGCAATGGTAGCGATGTCGATAATTACGAGGGCGGCAATGGTTCGACCCTCCTAAGGGTTCACGAGGTCTCGCACGACCTCGAGGCGGGCAAGTAGGTACTAAACTTCTTTAGAATAAGTTCATTCCCTCGATTCCACGTGGGAACGCCATACTTCGGATACCCAGAATTCCAGGGAAAGCCACTTCGACCAGCATTCAACGAAATTCACAGTGAAGATGAAAATGGTCAAGCACTAACCGAACCAAAACACAAAAGTTCAAAGACCTTCGTAGGTAATCCATCAGAGGCAATGAACCTATTGCAAAAAGATGCAAGAAAGTGCTGGCATTCGCATTGCAAATGTGATGATGGGTCCTGCGAAGAAATACGTTTTTCGAGAGAACTCCCACGAGAAATATTCTGTATACTAATGATGATTAAGATGACTACGTTATTGTAGACCATCTAACCCATTTTTTCAATACCCAAATGTAGCAAAATCGTTGCAACCAATGGTGATGAATGTCCCCTGTAGCATTATTTTTTGCTTGACTTGTCACCAGTTGAAAGAACAACGTAGTGAACTTAACCTCTCATGTGTCGGTGGCGTCAATCCCAGATGTCCTTACCCTGATTTAACTTCTGGCGTCAAAATATTAATACAGTGAGCAGTGAAAAAACTCTTAAACATTAAGAGCGACTGGCAGTGCCAGTTATATTCTACCAATTATCGATTTGCCGCTTTAGAAGCTTCTGCAGTTATCCTTGTTACCCTTTTCTCCTTTATTCTCTAACGAATAAAATTTTCAAGGATAATGCTGGCTTTTGTACAGTAACATCCATAATTAGCATAAACCTATGAAAACCCTGAAAAATTGCTTACTACATCATAAAATTACTCGTAGTTTTTTTTGAGGTCATAGAAATTGATTTGCCGAGAGTTCTTCAGTTATGTCTAGAATTTTAATCTTTAACACTCGTCAACGACACGCGTTATATAGTTGTCTGGTTTTATATGAGAGAAGTACGTAAAATGAAGATATATCACAGATGAGACATAATATCAGAGCGTTTGTGAAGGAAACTTGCTAAAATGTAGCCATGAAAAATAAAGTCACAAATCGTACATTAAATTCGGGAAGGGCTAATATGAATAAAGTAATTCACACCAAAGTAGCTTGCTTGAATTTGAGGCATTATTCTTTAGGAGTGAACAACTACTTCCTGATTATGATAACGAGAACGCGAGGTGCGCAGTGGTTGGAGAAACTGTGCAATACATGTGTGGTCATAAGCCGGAATCCGCGCAGAGCTGACTAAGCGTCTCATCTTTTCAAGGTCGAATTGGTACCAGATTTGTCTAGAAAAGCTAAATCCATTCAGCAGCAGGTTACCATCGTCTACAGTGGTGGTCTAGAAAGGTCCTAGCAGACCTATTCCATGATTCCGAGGAGTATCAAATCAATCAGCAACAACAGAGCTCTCAAGAAACAATTGAACATACACATAGAGCTGGACCCGTTGGAGAAAACAGATGCGAGAAAACGGAAAAATTAAGGAGTATGCTGTCACCTACACAGTATGTGATTACGGTATTAAAAAATATCATTGTGATGGAAATAACACATTCAATAACCGAATTCCTTTTGCATATTGAAATAAATCGCATTCCAGTTAATGAAATGTGAAAGGAAGAAATTGATTAAAGACCTTACTACGTGCTTTCCTTAGTAGCAATATACTCATGCTATTTAGTTTTGGCTGCTTAGGCTTTTTTGTGGAGATCGTGCTCCAAAGAACTTGCTATTAAATGTACTTTCCTGCATTTCTAAACTAACAGGTGTGAATTTACAAGTATTACAACCACAGCGTTGCTGAGATATTTGCAAAACTCTGGACCGCAGGTGTCTATGGTGGAGAACGAACGCGTTATTGTCCTTTCCGGGGAGTAACGCGTTCACCACCACACCATGCGGGTCCTTTGTTTCGCCTGTCTTTCTACAAGTATTCCTAATAATTGATTGCAACAAAAAAGAACACTAGTTCCTCTCCTTTACAGATTTTGCTTTATTTTAAAAAATGCCCTTGTTTTTGTTCTCAGTCTCTTTTGTGCTGGCTCCAGTGCTTTCTCGGCAAACTAAAATATGTGTTCCTCAAGGAAAAAAGTCGTGAAAGAACGATTTTCCAAAAGAAAATTGCTCGATAATATACTTCAATGAGGAACTCTTAAAACGAGTGTATCACCTACGATTTGAAAGTAGTGCATTTTAAAACGAAAGAAATCGTACACGTTAGA